CAAATCTGGTTTACATTCACTTCTGGCTTTTTTGTCTTGATTGCAAATGTTTTTTGTTGTTTTTTTATGTACGATGGATAATTAAAACAAAAATCAGGCGTGTGTATTTATAACATCAATTACTAGGCCTACATTCTTTTTTTCACAAATGGAAGTAACTCAAAATGTTGTGTGTTTGTAATTTTAATATTTTTATCTATAGGCCTATACAGCAAAACTACAGAGCGTCCAGTAGGTTATCTTATGGAGCTGTAAACACGGGAATCTCCGACCGCATGCAATCTTTGACGAACACCCAATTCATATATCAAACTAGGCTATATGTTATTAAATTGTACATAGGCTATATATCAGATTATTTTATTTACAAGTTTCATGTTTGTGTTTATCCCGTTTTTTCCCCGTTGCATCTGAAAATTACTTTCAGACACATTTTTTTTTCAAAGCAGACCCCCCTCCCCCCAAAAAAAGTGCGGCCCCCCAAAAAAAATGTGCCTGCCCCCTCACTTTGTGCGCTCTGGCGCCGACCCTGGGTACATGCCTCAAGTTATCTATTACAATGTACTTTTTTTATTGAAAATCAAAATACAGTAAAACCCGTTATATTTCAAAATATTATCACAATTTAAAATAACTTTTCTAGTTTGATGCATTTTAAAATGTAATTTATTTCTATTTTAAAATGTGATGTTAAAGCTGAATTTCCAGCAGTCTTCAGTGTCACGTGATCCTTTAGAAATCATTCTAATATGCTGATTTGATGCTCAAAATATGTTTCATCTGTATCAATGTTGAAAACCGTTGTGCTGCTTACTTTCTTGTGGAATCTGTGATACATTTGTTTGCATTATTCTTTGTTGAGTATAGCGGGCATTTCAGAAGAACAGCATTTATTTTAAAAAATATGAAGTATTCCAAATGTTTATGTTTAACCATCAATTGTGGTGGGGAAAATATATATGCATACGCACAATATATGGCTGCCGGTCTGTTAACGATCTAAATATGGGTTGTGGAGGGGGTTTGTTCATGGCTGCTTCCTTGACATAAATAAAAGAGAAACGTTATTTGTCAGCGGCAGCAGCAGAAGAACAGGAAGCAGAGCGGCGACCGCAGACTGCTGAACACGAACAGCCACATAGAGATGACTTCCTAGACACAGCTTCTGCTGTCAGACTAGAGGAAGCTAAAAGACATTCACATCTTACACGACGGAGCTCGGGAAGGTGGGAAATGGAGAAACAGCAGCATTCATCGGGTTCAGAGACTCCGGTGCTGCCGCCTGTCCCGCGCAAACCGCGGAACCTCGGAGGAGGAATCCCTGCATCTCGACCAGACCGCGTGGATTCATTAGACAGGTTACAAGACTTGATTTTATGCTCAAATGTACAATTATATATGTATTTTTCATAAATAAAGCCATCTACGGTGTGTACGCGCGCGATTCAGGCACGCCTTTTGTGATGGAGAGATAAAACGCGTCCTATATTGTTTATTGTTATGATATTTACCTTGATGTATACTGTACGTTAGTTTGTTTCTGCTCAGATAACACTGATATAGTTAGGTAGTAGCCTATTACTTCTGTGACGAAGAAGTGATAACATTAACTGAAACAATAAGACAAAAGCATTTTTAAAGCCAACATGCAAGATGTTATATATTAATTATAAGTTATAATATATTTTGTTGCATTTTTCAGCAATGAAAGATCAGACTGTGTGACACATTTCTCTGACCTCATATCGCCATCTGTCATATTTAGTCCACAGACCACAGGATGTCAGTACTGCACATTAATACTTGCAACTGTGCCAGTATGGCGCTTGTAGTTTCACATAATAACAGCTAATGGCAGATGTATTGACTGAAGCACTTGCTTGAGTGTTTTTTTTTTTTTTGCTCACACAGTCCTGGATCTCACGTGGAGTGGTGTAAACAGCTGATAACGGCCACTATCTCCAGCCAGATCTCTGGCGGTGTCCCTCCAGAAGCCATTACCCGTGAATACAAGGTTAAAGGATGTTTTTCACTCAAAATCAGACCTTTATTGTATAGAATAAGC